GGTTTGTCAATGTTTGATTCAACATTAGTGTACACTATAAAAAATATTCATTGGATTTAGTAACTATGTCACATAACCAGCGATCGCTTCCCAGAGACTATGAAATTTAAAGGCTTTACGCTTATTTTTTTTTTCTTAAAATCTCTCTAGTATATGCGAGTACAATGGTTCTTGAGATAATAAAGGCAATATTTTACAGGATCGCTGTGTATTTCGACAACAAAACGCAAGAACTGAAGCAAATAATGCTTATGTTTTGAGAAAATCTGTCAGAAAATCAATCATTTTAGACCTCAGATTAGGGATTATAAGGTGTCATAGTGGCGCACCATTGTCTCTTAGAAAGAAGGTTGCTGGTTTAAGTCTTGGCTAGGTCAGTTGGCATTTCTGTGTGGAGTTTGCATGTTCTCCCTGTATTGGTGTGGGTTTTCTCCGGGTGCTCCGATTTCCCCCACAGCCCAAACACATGCGCTATAGGGGAATTGGGTAAGCTAAATTATCCTTAGTGTATTTGTGTGCATAAGTGTGTATGGGTGTTTTCCAGTGATGGGTTGCAGCTGGAAGGGCATCCACTGTGTTAAACATGTGCTGGATAAGTTGGCGGTTCATTCAGCAACTAAATAAATAAATAAATAAAACCTAAATGAGTTAAACGGTAAAGATGGCTAAGCGAGAGTGTCTCCTCAGCTCAGCTTTGTCTCCGTCATCTTGACAGGTTCAGCTGTGTGTGAGTTACAGCTCTGCTGGCGCAGGAGGACAAACGTTTCAGTCACTTCTGGACCATACGACTGCGGTTTCTGCACCTCTTATTCTCAGCGTGCTATTTAAAACATGCTGACTCATAACCAAGCTCATTTTCACACTACTGTGCATTTTTAAAGGAATTAGGATGGACAGAGCTGAGCACTTCAGATATTTTTAAATTGGTGAATTTGATCAGAATATTAGATCTAAATGACTGTAAAAGCTGAACTTGGCTACTAATATCAAAACACTAGACGATTTCATTAGTTAATGTTAGTTAACACAGGCCCGTAGCCAGGGGGGGTTCGGGTGGTTCGAAAGAACTACCTCCCTACTGATAAAGGTCCAGAATTTGCCATTGGTCTAAAATTTTTGCCACTCCCTGCTGAAAGAACCAGCTTAAACCAGCCTAGGCTGGTTGGCTGGTTTTAGCTGGTCGACCAGGCTGGTTTTAGAGGAGTTTTGGCCATTTCCAGGTTGGTTTCAAGCCATTTCCAGCCTGGTCTTAGCTGGTCAGGCTGGAAAATGACCAGCTAAATCCAGCTAAACCAGTTTGACCAGCCTGGTTTAAGCTGGACATAGCTGGTTTTGGCTGGACTCCCAGCCAGGCTAAGCTAGTAAAGCTGGTATTAGCTGGTCATCTCCCAGACTGATCAGTTAAGACGAGGCTGGAAATGGCTGGAAACCAACCTGGTCGACTAGCTAAAACCAGCCAACCAACCTAGGCTGGTTTAAGCTGTATTTTTCAGCAGGGCTATGTTCTCATTTGACCTATTTTTACTGCCATGTCATCATAAATTGTGGAAATAACCCGTCGAAGGTTTTAAGAAAACACACAATATGACAAAAGTGAAGTCAGCTTTCACTATTGACCGACTGTTGTTAAAAAAACAAAAACATTTTACCAGTAGCCTAACTTTTATTATAAATCTTGAACCTCATTCTTGAGAGAGTGAACAATTAATTGAACAATAAAAAGGTCTGAAGCACCAAAAGCAGCCTATTAAAGTCCAAAATCAAACAAAAGTTTTCAGAGGTAGCTTAAATAATGTGCTCTTTGTCTAAGGGAATCATCAGAATAAACATCAAAATCAGTCCAAGGCACTCAAAAAATGTGGAAAAAATATTAAAAAGCCTTTATTGACATGACTGTACCTTAAAACTGCAGCTACATCAGGTTTCCCTGATGAAGTTGTGTTCTCAAAACGTGTGAGCACAGTTTTAGGAAATAGCCATGTCAGTAAAGGCTTTTTATTATTATTTTTCCACATTTTTCGAGTGCCTAAGACTGATTTTTGCTGTTTATACAAATTAGACTGTTGCTGTTGTTAGATGAATTTTCAAGAGAGGCTAGAAAAAAAAATCGTGAAGCTCTTTTCTTTATATTTGTTTATTATAAATATTTAGGAAATATTTTGGTGCATCAAAATTGGAGTATACAACAAGCTAATCCAGCCAAAAAATAGTGCTTAAAACGCCACTTATTGGAGTATTAAACATCATAATTAAATAGAAAATAAAGCTAACAACTGCAAAAAAAGTTTACATTTTTAGTAAAAAGAACCACCCCTTTCACCAGGCTGGCTACGGGCCTGTAACATCAACTAATAATAAACAAAATCATTTAGTAATCATAGTTCAACACTTACAAATGCATTTTTAAAATCCAAATTGATTGCATTTGTTTGTTTTCAGGATGTCCCCACTAAACTAGTGGCAAAAGCAGGACCGTTGCCGATGGCTGTGAGAGGCCACTGGTTCCTGAGTGCTCGAACTGAGTACTGTGTGGCGGTGCAGATCGCCATAAAACAGCCCGACGGAGACTATCAGGTGTCTGAATGGAGCCCGGTGGTGGAGTTCTGCACTGGGGGTGAGCGGAGACCGACCTGTGGAATGTTCTCACTGTACTCATTATGTTGCACCAAGCCCCTGAGATCATCAGAACTCAAATTAAAGGGGTAGTTCACCCAAAAATGAAAATCCGGTCATCATTTGCTGATCATCCACATAGTTCACTTTCTGCTGAGCACAAAAGAAGATATTTTGAAAAATGCTGAAAACCTGTAACCATTGACTTCCATAATAGGAACCACAAATACTATGAAAGTCATGGGTTACAGGTTTTCAGCATTTTTCATAGTAAATTCGTTCATGAGCACTGTGCACACTCAAAAAAATATGTTTGCTTTTAGTTCAAACTAATTATCTAAAGCAGGGCCATTCAATTAGTTTGTCATGGGGGCCGGAGAGATATAACTTGCAATATGAGTGATGACACAACAGCATATACGAGTCCATATGCTGTATTTGTGCTCATTAAGACACCCACGTTGACTTATTCTACATTAAAATGTTGATATTTGTATTTTGACACTACATAACATCACTGCATTGTACAATGTGGCTTTATTAGATTTTGGCTGTACGATTATATAGTCTGAAGAATAATCATGGTTATCACGTCTAATGTAAATTTAAGCTTTATATTAGGTAAGTATTTAAATTAACTGTTGTTATCATCTGTGTTCATACATACATTATCACTTTATTCATCTGTAATAATTCATCTAACATATCTTTTGCTTAAAAAAGCAAACGCACAACTCACATCTCGTCTTCAGTTTTGGGATCAGGCACGCTTTGCACTCACATTATAAGCCCAAGTGAACCGCGCTCTGGCACACCTCTTCCAACCGGGCCAGGGCTGGCCAACTGAACCGTGCCTGAGCCTGATTCAGAGAACTCACACTTCTCAAACAATCCGGGAATCGCGCCCGGACACGATTCAGAAAGCATAGTGTGAGTAGGCCCTCAGTGTCAGTATATTGAGCACAGTGCAGTAACGTACACCACTCCAGATGTTATTCATTAATGTTTTCATCTGAGATCCACCTTTTACTCTTGAATAATGGTTTAAATGTGTTGTTTTGGGCAGATTATGCGATGGAGCATCTCCAGCAGCTCTTGGATAAAGCTCAGGGCGCCGCAGGGAGGCTGCTCAGGTTCTCTGTCTTCTACCGCAATCAGACATCGGAATACTTCCACTATGTGAGGTTAGTCTCAACACATAAACAATACTATAGTCATTTACTAATAGTGTTTCGGAAATACCATACCCAGCTAGCAAAATTCATGTGGCTCAAATCCGGTCCACACCAGGCACCTACATCCGGCCCACATACCGTATGGAATGATGGCACTTGGGTGGTCCGCTTTTGTTTGCCAGATCTGGGCCACAATTAAGCCACAGCAACATCACATATCAGCCAGAATTCAACCAAATGAACCAGAACTGACCCTATTTTGGGCCACAGTTTGCTTTTATTCTGGCCCACAACAGACACTTACATCTGGACCACATACTGAATGGAATGATGGCTCTAGGGTGGTCCGCTCCTGTTTGTCAGATCTGGGTCACAAATGACCCAAAGCAATACCACATATCAGCCAGATCAACCAAATGAACCAGAACTGACCCTATTCTGGGCCAGTTTGCTTTTATTCTGGCCCAGATCTAGCCTATTACTTCTAATAATGAATTAAACATTGGTAAACATCAGTGAATTATATTATTTCATCACAGGTTGTGCCTCACTTCATTTTGTTTGCTGTAATGAACAAACTTTTCAAGCAAAGTTCTTGAAAAGAACATTTATAATAAGAGGTTCAGTGCTATGAGCCCAACTAAAGCAAACACTTTTCTCCATGATGTTGACTTTAGTCTCTGTTGTCGATATGTTTTAAGATAACTGGGCCACATTTTCCATATCTTCTCTGGGCCACTATAGGCTCAAATCCACATTAGCCATAGCTAACTGTGCCGAATATTTGCCAAAAGTGGCCCACATATGTCCTAAGATAACTGGGCCACATTTGCCATATATCCTCTGGGCCACATTATGCTCACAGCCGCAATAGCCTAAAGATAACTGGGCCACATTTGCATCTACACATGTGACCGACTTTAGGTTTAGACCCTGATTACCCTTAAATGACTATGCCACTATTTTGCCAACTGTGGCCCACATTTGTCCTCCGTCATTTATACCAAGTTTATCATTCTCCACATGGGCCACATTAGACTCACATTCAGATTACATTCTGCCATAAGTGCCAAATCATTGCCTTAAGTGGCTCATAAATGAACTTGAATCTTTGGCCCTCCTTTGCTATTGTACAGGTGGGCCACTCCAGGCTCACTTTCATTTTGTCTGGGCCGAAGGGAGACTACCAGCATAACTGCCAAAAGTGGCCCACATTCATACGCGATCTGAGTATTGTTTTTGAAAAACCCTTTAAGGGAAGTCAATTTACCTGGCGGCCATCGTTGAAACATCTCTCAGGCGGTATGCTCAGGCATTCTGTCTGAATGGGGAAACATCAAATTCTCCGAAACTCCTAGCCAAGCTCACGATTACATTACATATTTGGAATCACCAATAAAATTAAACCATGTCTTTAGTTTAGTTTCTGAACATTCGAATCAAACAAGATTTTAGGTGCCCGAGCTAATGCGCATGCACACCCGAAAGGAACGAGATCACGACACCAACCTCAATTATGGCAGTGTTACACATGATCATCCTCTGGATAATGATCATCAGATCGCGCAGCTCTTCTGAAGTAATCCACAGCTTGGTCTTGATGGTGAATCTCCACCAGAACTGACAGCCACTTTTTGTTTACAAGCTTGTGTGTGATTGAGTACAAAAGGGCAGATTATTGATTGTGTCTTCATCTCTCATGCACAGATCAGAGTGTGGCGGTGCGATGCTCCCATCCTTCAAAGACACCAGCGGCAGTCACGGCTCCCCCATCAACGGAAAGCTCCGCGGCGTCTTCCTCAGCTGCAACACCGAATTCGACACCGGCCTTCCACCCAGAGACTCTCCATACGGCCCTCTGCGCTTCCAGATCCCAGCCGAGCGCCTCCTGAACCCCAGCACGAACCTCTACTTCGCCGACTTCTACTGCATGTACACGGCCTACCATTACGTGGTGCTGGTGCTGGCCCCTGCTGGATCGGAGGGGGATCATTTTTGCAAGAGCCGCCTGCCACGACTAGACCTGGCGACCAATAACTTCCTGACCTACACAGATGGAGATGCTCCGCTATTCAGTCATGCAAGCGATGTGATTTTGGAGGTGTTGTTCACCGAGCCTTTGCTTCTGGAGGAGGGAAGCCTTGCTCAGATTAGTGGCCGGCACCAGCTCATGAGTCTCTCCACTGCTAACGCTAAGAAAGACCCCAGCTGTAAAGTGTGCAATATCAGTGTGGGCCGCTGAGCTGATGTTGAAGGTACTTCATCTGGAGAATCGGCCATTGAAATTCACTAGTCCTGCAACTGGAAGTGAATTCACATTCATATCAGACGCTCAAGTATGGTTTAGCCTTTGTGTGCTGCTGTTGGGGATGTTTTCATCCACTCTGGGGTGTTTTTAGGCCACAACCTTCTCTGTGTTTCAGCAAATGGAATGATTTTTGCTGACAAATCTTATTTTGACACATATTTTGGAAGTATGCTTTGAAAATTAAAAAATAAAACTCAAAAATACACGGTGGGCAAATTGACTACCCTTTCGTTATGTTGGGGACTGTTTTAGCCCCATTGACTTCCATTATAATTACATTTATTGATTGCAAAGCCATGACAGCATATAATCATGCATTCTTCAATGTTGCTGATTTTCCCGGTTGGCAAATGTGTCAACTTTATTGTTAATAACAATTTAGTCCTATTTGATAAACTATTACTAAGTACAGTGCATCCGGAAAGTATTCATAGCGTGTCACTTTTTCCACATTCTTTATGTTACAGCCTTTTTAAAAATGGATTAAATTTATTTATTTCCTCAACATTCTACACACAATCCCCCATAATGACAATGTGAACAAACATCAATATTTACAAACTTTGCTCAATACTTAGTTGATGCACCTTTGGCAGCGATTACAGCCTCAAGTTCTTTTGAATATGATGCCACAAGCTTGGCACACCTGTCTTTGGGAATCCCATTCCTTATTGCAGTTCCTCTCAAGCTCTATCAGGTTGGATGGAAAGCGGTGGTGTACAGCCATTTTCAGATCTCTCTAGAGATGTTCAATAGGATTTAGGTCTGGGCTCTAGCTGGGCCACTACAGGACATTCACCGAGTTGTTGTGAAGCCACTGCATTGATATTTTGGTGGTGTGCTTTGTGTCATTGACTAGTCTTCCAGTTCCTGCTGCTGAAGAACATCCCAACAGCATGATGCCAACACCACCATGCTTCACTGTAGGGATGCTGTTAGCCTGGTGATGAGCGCTGCCTGCTTTTCTCCAAACGTAACGCCTGGCGTTCACTCCAAAGAGTTCAAGTTTAGTCTCATCAGAGCAGAGAATTTAGTTTCTTATGGTCTGAGACTCCTTCAGATGCCAAATTTAAGGCGGGGAGTGTCTTGCGTCTGGCCACTCTACCACACAGGCCTGATTGGTGGATTGCTGCACAGATGGTTGTCCTTCTGTAAGGTTCTCCTCTCTCCACAGAAGAACGCTGGAGCTCAGACAGAGTGACCATCGGGTTATTGATCACCTCCCTGACTAAGACCCGTCTCCCCCGATCACTTAGCTTAGATGTCCGGCCAGCTCAAGGAAGAGTCCTGGTGGTTCAACATCTTCCACTTACGGATGATGGAGGCCGCTGTGCTCATTGGAACTTTCAGAGCTGCAGAAATGTTTAACCTTCCTCAGCCTTGTGCCTCCAGACAATCCTGTCTCGGAGGTCTACAGACAATTCCTTTGTCTTCATGCTTGGTTTGTGCTTTGACATGCACTGTCAACCCTGGGAGCTTATATAGACAGGTGTAGCCTTTTCAGATCATGTCCAATCAGCTGAATTGACCACAGGTGAACTCCAATGAAGCTGAAACATCTCAAGAATGATCAGTGGAGACAGAATGTACCTGAGCTCAGTTTAGAGCTTCACGGCAAAGGCTTTGTTCATGTTGTCATTATGGGGGATTGTGTGAAGAATGTTGAGGAAATTAATGACTTTAATCCATTTTGGAATAAGGCTGTAGCATAAAAAAGTGGAAAAAGTGAAGCGCGATCAATACTTTTCTGGATGCACTGTGTATGTGCTTGATTTTTCTAGTAATTCAACAGCCCATATACTGTATTGTGCACTGAAATGCCATTTTAATGAAACACATTAAAGTCCATTTTGCAGGTCAATCATAATCAAATCAAATGTGTGAAGACATGAGAGAAACATACAGAACGAGCAACTGAACCTGACTTCATCTGTCTTAAAGGGACAGTTCAGGCAAAAATACTTCATTGTTAATTATGCCATAAAAGTGAAGCCACATATAACTGCATCTCAACATGTTCATAATCACATGCAAATCATATTTAATGATATCATTACTAAATCATATCAGTAATTCTGTTTATTTTTGCATTTTGTTGTTTATCAGAGTCCAATACATGGTTGTTTTTGTGTCTATATGTGTGTGTGTGTGTGTGTGTGTGTGTGTATCTATGTGGGTCAAAGACAAGATTTATTCCTTCATTTTCTTTTCGGCTTAGTCCCTTTATTAATCAGGGGTCGCCACAGTGAAATGAACCGCCAACTTATTCAGCATATGTTTACACAGCGGATGCTCTTCCAGCTGCAACCCATCACTGGGAAACACTTACACACACACACATACACTACACTTACCCAATTCCCCAAAGGCACATGTGTTTGGACTGTGGGGGAACCGGAGCACCTGGAAAACCCACGCCAACACTAGGAGAACATGCGAACTCCACACAGAAATGCCAAATGACCCAGCCGGGGCTCGAACCAGCAACCTTCTTGATGTGAGATGATTGTGCTACCCTCTGCGTCACTGTATTGTGTTTAATATGTGTACTGCTTGTATAAATTCACTCATGTAAATCTCATTTTTATGCAAACACTTGTCTTTGACCCGTTTATATTATACTTTAACAAACAAAAATAAAACCCTTCAGACACTTTATGCACCTGATTTCTTTCTGAGAATGATTGCATTGTATAAACACAAGCTTTAGCCATTTTGGCACATACAGTAAAACATTGCTAAATACACTCAGCGGCCACTTTATTAGGTACACCATAGTAGTACCGAGTTGGACCTCATTTTTTCTTCAGAACTGCCTCAATCCTTCGTGGCATAGATTCAACAAGCTACTGGAAATATTCCTCAGACATGTTGCTCCATATTGACTTGATAGCATCACGCAGTTGCTGCAGATTTGTCGGCTGCGCATCCATGATGCCAATCTCCCGTTCATCCCAAAGGTGCTCTTTTGGATTGAGATCTGGTGACTGTGGAGGCCATTTGAGTACAGTGAACTCATTGTCATGTTCAAGAAAGTAGTCTGAGATGATTCACTCTTTATGACATGGTGTGTTATCCTGCAGGAAGTAGCCATCAGAAGATGGAGACACTGTGCTCATAAAGGGATGGACATGGTCAGCAGCAATACTCAGGTAGGCTGTGGCGTTGACATGTTATTTGAGATCCTGGAACCAATCTGGCCATTCTCCTCTGACCATCAACAAGACATTTGCGCCCACAGGACTGCCGCTCACTGGATATTTCCTCTTTGTCAGACCATTCTCTGTAAACCCTAGAGATGGTTGTGCGTGAAAATCCCAGTAGATCAGCAGTTTCTGAAATACTCAGAGCAGCCCGTCTGGCACCAACAACCATGCCACATTTAAAGTCACTTTAATCCTCTTTCTTCCCCATTCTGATGCTCAGTATGAACTGCAGCAGATCATATTGACCATGTCTACATGCCTAAATGCATTGAGCTGCTCCCATATGATTGGCTGATTTGAAATTTGCATTAACGAGCAGTTGGACAGGTGTACCTAATAAAGTGGCCGGTTGGTGTATGTTACATGAGATATTATAAAGATTGTGATAATGAGAATTCAAGCTTCACAACCTGAACAAGGCTTCATCATCATTTTAAAGATAAATCCAGTACAGTCACATATTTCCCAAACGTGCCGTCAATCCACTGGTAAAGATTACAAAAGCTCTTGAAGACTGAAAGTGGCCACTGTCTGCAGGTCCATAATCTGATTAAGACTGATTACAGAAAGGCCACTGATCATCAGACCGAGCAAGCGCTGATCTTTCTCTCTGTCTGAGGAGGAATTATATGTGGCGCCCTTTACACTCTCGCATGAATGAGATCAATTACAACACAGCCTCTCCATTTCACTGCATGCGGGGAAGATTTCTTCATGTCTTCTTTAAACCATTTTAAATGCCAATTGAGGTCTAAGCACAAAGATCTGACTTTGGTACAGTTTTTCATATCTAAATATTGCAATAGTATCTGGATGCCGCCTTTATGATGCAAGCTGAGACTGCATCACTCAGCGATGCAATGTCAGACTCAATAGAGTGAGTGACGTCACTGTGACGGGTAGGGTTAGGGGTGGGGATAGGTGAGTGCATTAAAAAGCATTGGATGCAGCTCAGTTTGCACAGCACCGAGTCTGCAGCCAGACCCCTCTCTAATATTGTAGTATTAAAACTCAAATGCATTTAAAACAAAAACACCACATTATCAGTCAGAACAGCAGTGTCTCAGTTTAAAAAGCATCTTTGTTTTCTAATCAAGGCTTCTCAAATGTCAACCGAAAGGCCCGTCAGGCACCAATCCAAAGAATTAATGGATTTAAATAAGTGGATTATCCTTAAAAGACAACGTCCTGAGACTTAAATGCCCCTTCTTAGAGGAGAGAGTGTGTTCATCTTTGTGAAAAAGCCAGACAAGCGAAGAAATAAAAATAAATTAAACCTAAAAACGTGAAGTCTGCATGAAACCCACATTTCTATGCTTTGTTAGCGCACATTGCTTGCTTTAGATTGACGTTATCCATGCCAGTTTATTTACTCAAGTAAAAATAAATTAGGTAAAGTTCTCTGATGACGTCAGTTTGACTGCTTGAGCGAAATACGCTTAACCACACCTTAACTACATTCATGATTTAGGGCTCTATTTTAATGATCTAGGGCAGGGTTTTTCAGACAGTGGGCCTCCCTTTAGACACAACTTATCCATTGGCGCCCCCCTCCTCCCAAACACGCACGAACACACACACACACACACAAAATTCTAGAGGTTTTCCTGCTACCTCATCATGCTTGGTTTCAAGGTGTCGCCGAAGTTTAGCGGTTCTCATGCTGTCATTAGCCAAAATATCTTGACAAACCACACATAAAGGTCGTGGTTCATCAGCTGGTCCTGTCCACGTAAATCCTAAACTCAAATACTGATCATCATATAGTCGTCTTTTGGGTTTAAGCCCCAAACTTGAAGGCTTTGAATCGGGGGGTCTCAGAAACCGATCCATTGTATTAGCAGGCATATACCTGTATTGGCGGGCTTGCCAAACAGAAGCGAATTCACAGCTATGGCCTTCTGGGTAAAAAAGGTTTTCTTATTTTTGATGTCTACTTTTTTTTTTAGCTTTGTTTAATTAAAACGTTTAAAAATATTTTAAAATACATATAATAATTAAACTTAATAATTATATTTTTATTATATAATATTTTTTGCAGCGTCTTCCCTGACATGCTCTGGCGCCCCCCAGAGGAGGCGCACCTCACACTTTGAAAACCCCTGATCTAGGCGCAAAGTCTAAAGCGGATGTTGCAAAAGCATTAAGGGCGTGTCTGAATTTGCTACTTTAAGGATGTAAAAATACGCTCTGCGCCCCGGCGCATGGTCTAAAAGGGTTGTGCTTATTCTCTTACTGAGTTCTGGGTGTGTTTTGAGCATAACCTGCATTAAACCAATCAGTCTCGTCTCTCATTCCCTTTAAGAGTGAGTGGTGTCGTGCCATTGTGCATTTGCTATTTACATGGCAAACCCATCCTAATCTCACGAGAAAATGTAAGTATTTTACGTTTTGCCAGTTTAGTGGCTAATTCGTACGAAATGGTACGATTTTAAAAAGGAGGCGTGGCACCTGACCCCACCCCTAACCCCAATCGTCATTGGAGGATAAGCAAATCGTACTAAATTGTACGAATTAGATCGTACGAATTCATACGAATTAGCCACTAAATGAAAAAGTTTCGAATTGCTGTGAAATTGTGTTGGGCAAACCATACATTTACTTTTCATAAAGTAACAGCAGGACTTCATACAGCAGATAACTCGCACTCGAACACATTCTTTTTGGAATTATTGCACAAATATTAAGTCAAAGCATTAGTTAGATAGTGGTTCCTGCTTTTTATTAGTCCTAATTGATGTTTTCAAATACAATAAATCCCTTAAAATACAATTTGCAATAGTGCTCATTCACTTTTGATGGGTGCTCCTAAATTTTCTGGTGCTCCTAATTATTTAAAGTTGGGAGCACCGGCGCTACCAAGTAAAAAAGTTAATTTCGAGCCCTGTACATTAAGAATTGCCTTCTGAAGTGCAAGTAATTTATTAAATGATGAAAGGATTCACGCAGCGGTCATCACAGCAAATTCAGTTTTTATGGTTGATGTTTGGCAGCAGTTAATGAGGAAGTGATGATTTTGTTCGCTTGGACTCGTTGGATGAAAGCGCTGCTTTAGGGTGCTTTCACACCTGTGAATCGATTCAGTTGTTCCGAAACAGAGATTACAATTGTTACATTGTTGCTCTTTGCTCTTGGAGCGGTTCGCTTACACATTGCAAAGTTTCTAAACGGACCAAAATAGCTAAAACAAGTCACGTGCGAGTAAACTCTCCTCACATTGGTCAGAGTGTCAGGGTTTATTTTGCAGAGTCCCGCTCAGCTGTCAGGAGAGGTGGTGGTTTGGTGGTGATTGACAGGGTGCGCGCGATGTGTCTGAGGAGAGATGCGGTGGAGAGGGGTGAGAAGGGTGCGGGACGATGCCTATTTGAGGACTGGGAAAGAGACGCGAGATTACCGGGAGATCATCACTCGTTTGCGAGCATCCGGAGACTCGCGAAACTTCCCGCCATACTCATAATTCTCTCTTCATATAGCCGTAAGCCTATTACATATCCATAAAACACTGTGATATAACCGCGCTCGGATCGCTTTCTCACTGCAATCGAACCGCTCCAGGGTTCGTTTCAATCGAGCCGAGACCACCTCATTCAAGCGATCTCGGAGCGATTACTTTGGCGCGGAACAGAGCGCGATTGCCCTGTTCACATATGCCAATCGAACCGCGCTAACTGGGCAAACGAGACACGTTCCGAAACAAAAGTGTAGGTGTGAAAGCACCCTTAGTTGAACGTCTTTTATGCGATAATCCAGTTGAGCCTAGTTAATTCACATTTTCGGATGGAAATATAGCTTGTGGAGGTTGCAGGGTGTTTGCCAGTGATGGCTTGGACATCCACCGTGTAAAACATATGCTGTAATATTTGGCGGTTCAATCCGCTGTGGCGACCTCTGAAATGGAGACCAAGCTGAAGAAAAACGAATTAGCTTAATTTCCCCCTGAATTATGCAGCAACAATCCCTAAATAGATGGGATGAAACATTTTCCACATTCTGGGGCACCAATACCCTCACTTCCCAAACCAAAAGTTACACTCTTGTAAGAAATCCTTGACAAAATGACAAACAGCAGAAGCCAAGTAAATATTAAACTTTATTTTATATAAAAATATTCACTATAAAACTTAAATTACCCACAGTATGAAAGTTCAAGAAACATGTTAAAGTGCTTACAGGTCGATCATCTAAAAATTCATTTCTCTAAAAATAGAAAAACGCACCTGATATAAACATTGGTCATTATAAAATACTGCATTACCCATAACATGCATTTCATCAGCAAGCAAGGTCTTTTTTCCCCCCAACAAAACGTTCATGGCACCACATTTCAGTCAGTTCTGTGCTAATAAACGGGAGAGTAGCAAGCAGGTGACAAAAGTAAAGGAGCCACCAAGCAATTTTGTGTTTAAGTTGGACATTAGACGTCTAGCATGGATGTTGACTAGTAATCTAAATTTGGGCTGTCAGTGAAATATCCAAAACATGTCTAAGAATAGCACAAAGTTTTACTAATCATCAGTCATAAACGGCCCTCACATTTATTCCAGTGTATTTGCTGACTAGTCTATTTTTATTCGTCCGTTAGATGTTCACTGACAGCCCAAATTTAGTTTTGTTTTAGCCCAGGCGTCTATTACACATGTATTGATCTATGTCTGTTGTGCAGATTCAGTCACACACCTGTATGCAGTAGTTTTTGCCGTTATTATTGTCCCATTCAGCAGCGGCGAACGTCGCCGGGAAGTAAGAAACGCAGAACTCGACGCGTTCACGCGGGTCTATCTCTTCAGGGACGCTGATGTTGAACTCAAACACGTCGGTTCCAGGTTCCCCGTAACACCGATCCAGGTACGTGCACGGAACGTCCAGGTAAGTTTTCCAGCTGTCGAAAGTGATACGGACGTGCACCGCTTTCTCAAAGCACACGTTTTTGACGCGAACGGTGCCGAGAACGGAGCGTTTGGTGACGTTGCAGCTCTCTAACAGCACCGCGTGTTCCTGCAGCCGGTTTCTGAACGCCTGGTAATCACAACACGGCTGCTCGAACCCGAGCTTCAGCCTCGAAGTCGCTTTAGCGGGCTCTTTAGCACAGCCCAGCTTCTTCAGCCTCGGGATTTTAAGCGGTTCGCGCGGGATGTTGTCCTCTTTCTCGGTGAACAGGCGCACTGTGATGAGCGCCAGGCCTTTAGCGTCCGCAAACGCGACGCGTTTTTCACGGCGGCCATTTTTGGTAAGGAGGCCCGTGGAAGGGGAATGTCGGTACTCAAACACCGGCTGATGGGAGATGCAGGGCCGCAGTGGTTTGGGTGAAGACATGAGCAGGTGATGGTTGATGTGTGGAGAGCCTCTGCACCGGAAACCCACCGCCATATCCACCGACCGCACGGACACCGGCGGCCCAAACCGCGACATCACACTGGAGGACGACAGAAATGTGTGGAAAAAAAAGATTTGTTATTACATCTAATATATATTCAATAATATATAACCTTGATTAAAACATTGAGGTAACGTTGGTTTTACATTCGCAGTCAGTTTCTCATAAAAATATAATCTCAGAAAAAAGTATTAATTGTAAATTCTAAATACAGAAATCATATTAGCAGCCAACAACCATAAAAAAAAGTGTTCATTTAATTAAATAGTGTTAATGTTGTTTTGAAGGCATACTTGCATGTGATTTCAGTCCAAATATAAGTACCATGGTGAATGTATGGAGCGGTCACTAAAACCAACTTTACCTCTATGCTAAACACCTTTAACCATCAACTTTTATTGTGAGTGAAACAAATACTAAAGTCAATGCACTCTAACAAATGCCACGCCATTTCAATCCAATTCTGGTGGTAATAGAGACTACCTCAACTGATAGAGGTAAAGTTGGTTTTATATTCGCACATTCGTTCTTTAAGCAGTCTATTGTTTACCATGTTACTTTGAATATTTGATCAGAATTGGCATACCAGTATGACTTCTAAACAGCATTAACACTATCTAATTGAGTGAATAATGCTGTATTTTGATAGTCATTTGCTGCTAATATGGATTTCCCCATTTAGAATTTGCAGTACTTTTCGGAAACTACATTAAGGAGAAATGTCTAAATATCCCAATATGAAACCAATTGTACTTCTATCCTCAACTGCTGGGTTAATAATTTGTTTTTAATTAAATAAATAGGACCAAATTGACTCCAATTTGAATAAAATGGGAACCAACCCAAACATGCAGTTAAATAATCCAGCATTTCTTATAGTGTGGTTACAGGATTTCAGCTTTCTTCAAAATATCTTGCTTTGTTTTCAAAACAAGAACTAAAAATGTAAAAAAAAATAATAATAAAAATAAATAAACTAATTAATAAATAATTAAAAGATTGGGGTGAATTGATCCTTTAAGCCAGGGGTGTCGAAACACTGTCCTGGAGGGCTGATGTACTGCATATTTAGTTCCAACCCCAATTAAACACACCTGAACCAGCTAATCAAGCTCTTTCTAGGTATACTAGAAACTTCCATGGAGGCGTGTTGAAGTAAGTTGGAGCTATGCAGGACACCGGCCCTCCAGGACCAAGTTTGGACACCCCTGCTTTAAGCAATGCTTTAAACTCAGTTTTTTTTTTTAAACAACATCTCAAATGTTAATGAATTTTTAAAATTAACAAAATATTTACGGTCCACTTCCGTAGGAGCAAAACAACCGCAATGTTTTGCAAACTTAAAAGGATAGTTCATCCAAAAATTAAAGGATCTCACTGTTTTCTAATACGAATAGTTTCTAAACCTTTAAAATTTCCTTCTGTTTAACACATAAGATATTACTTTGAATAAAAGCTGGGAATATTTTACGATCACTTGCATAGTATTAGTCTTCCCAAAGTAAATGGTTTAAGGTTTTCAGCTTTTCCAAAATACCTTTTATGTTCAACAGAAGAAAAACGACCACCTGAGGGAGAGCAATCTCTCATTATGTGTGAAATCCCTTTTGAAATAAAACTATTAAGTATGTTTTACAAAAACAAACAAAAAAAGTACAAGCATTTACCATTTAAAGGTTTTAGTTGTACTTTCTTCTGCTAGTTGCTTATTTCACTCTTGATTTCATAGTAAAAAGCATCCATGCCACATCTTCAGAGTGTAAACCCTGGTGTTTAGTAGTTATCATTCAAAACCCAAACTTACTTTGCACAACTCATCTTGCAGGATGCAACAAAACCCAAAACTGTCTTTCAAAACTTCCTTCTCCAAAGTGGCCACAAACACTTTAAACAGAGCCAATGCTGTAGAAAAACACACATTAAACTCAAGTTAGTCATTTAACATCAACCACCTTCACCCAAACCTCCAATACACAATGATTAAATCAAAACGCTTACTGTGCTTTCATTTTATCATTGGATTATCCGCTGAAAGGCTATCTGGTGTATGTCATCTACCTGCTCGCTTGAGCTTCAGGAAGCATTATGTGAAGGCTTGCGTCACGCCCTGTTTTATAGTCGCTTGATCCCTCCTCCAAACTCAGGCCAATGAGATTTGCAAGGGCCGGATAGGGCTTAACCAGCTATTTACAACCTGATCTGAGAGCTGAAGAGTCGCTGGGAGGACAAAGAAATTAGGAGAGCTGGCAGATATCAAGTTAGAACAATGAAAACACTTTTGAGCTTACTTTAATTTTTGTGCAACAATGAACATCAGTTGATCCACTTTGCAACTTGATCCCTTAAAGCAATGTTGATGTATTTTTATTCAAGAGATTTTTAATTGTTGTGCGTTTTCTGTGTTAATCTGTTCACTGTGTGTACAACATCACTTTTGTACTGCAAACAATTGTCTTTGACCCATTTACATTTAAATATGTGATAAATTAATTGTACATTATACTTTAACACACACACACAAACAAAACACTTCAGAGACTTTATCCACTGGATTTCTTTGTTTGACTGCATTGAATATAGGTTAGTTTTTGTGAAAGCAATGATCATCAATACATCCGCCTTCCTTGCAACTTCATCTTTTTAAACAATGTTGTAGATGTATTCTATTCGAAAGATTTTTAATTGTTTTGCATATTTAATCTGTTTACTGTGTGCATAAAACCACTTTTGTAATGCAAACAATTGTCTTTGACCCATTTACATTTAAATATGTGATAAATTAATTGGACGTTATACTTTAACACACACAAAAATAAAAGACTTTATGCACTGTATTTTTTGTATGATTGTATTGCATATAGTTTAGTTTTTGTAAAGCAATGAACAGCAGTGCATCTGCCTTCCTTGCAACTTCATTTAGTATTTTTAGAAAACAAATATGCAATTTTAAGAGATCCAAATTAAAAAAATAATTAAAACAAAATACATGTTCCAGTTTACATTTCAGATAAAACACGCAAAACATGGAAGGACCAATTTATTAGGAGACTTGACAAGTGAAAGGGACATAGCAAAAAATAAATAATAAACTTTTGAGGTTAATTTTAGGCTAAATTAGTTTAAGTGAACATCAATTAGAAAAGTTCCCTTTCCACTAACATTCATGGCATGCAAAATACTCTAAATCAGACATATATGCAATAAATCACAGATATCAAACAACAGAAAAACACCCTAAAGTCCTCATGAAACTCAAATGTATAATGTTTAGTTTGCTATCGCACACAGTCTTAAATTTAATAGGTAATCTGGCCATTTTTAATCAATCTAACCCTTTGCTTCTGCTCTTTTTAAAAAAAAGAAATAAGAAATATACAATTCATTCAAATAATAACCAAAGTATACAAGTACTGATCCACCCCCCATGCCCCACACTCTGAGCATGCAGCAGTCTGGGTGGGACGCTTCTTTCGGGCTTCTCCACACTGTAACTCTCCCATGTGTGGGAAAGACAGTGAAGGTGGACTCGTCAAAGAACAATGCATGTTTCACATTGTCCACAACCCAAGATTCGCTGCTGGCACCCTTGAAACTGACGTTTAGCATTGGCACGAGTGACCAAAGCTTTGGCTGTAGCAGACAGCCATGTATAGACCCTGTGGAGCTCCCGATGAACAGTTTCGGTGGAAACAGAAGAGTTGAGCTGTGCATTTAATTCTGACACTCATTTCATTTGATTAAGTTGACTGTTGGCTTTTACAGTCTAGCATTATGTTTAAATTATTGCTGTGAAAATACCCCATAATCTTGCAAAATTGAATTAATGTTGATATTAAGAACATTGATCTCTGGACCTTTAAAATCCAGAGGGTTGCAATCCCATATGCACAGCAAAAAATCCATACTAGGGGAACATATTAGTTTTTTTTTCCATCTCGTGCTGAATTAGACAAATCTATTCCTGTATGGCACATTGTCTTTCCATAATTATTCTTACAGTTTCCAACAAATCTGGAAAGCCGTGATGATATTTCACATTTGATGCCTTTTATATAACAGCCGAATTTACCATAATTCTGCCTCAGGACAAAGCATGAAAACTCTGCAGGCCCTTAAAACAAAGCAGCGAGTGTGATTTTTAACCTCATTAGGCTTTCATTCATAACGCTTGAGCTTGTCTTTTGAAGAGACGCAGAGCAGGAGAGAAAATTACCATTGCTGCCATATCAGACCTGTCATTCGGCACGTAGCAGGCAAGAATGTGGTTTGAACTCTTGCCAATCAATAGTCTTGAATAGAGCAATGCAAACTGACTGCCTGTTTGCATGACTAAATGTACACTGAAACAAAATGATTAACTGGATTTACTCATTTTGTTTAATGTAAGGGGTTGCAACCAATTAATATGGGCTGAATATAAACAAACAAATGAAGTTGAACATTACTGCATCTAATATGTTTATATTCAGCCCACATGAATTGTTTGCAACCCCTTACATTAAACAAGATGACTAAATCCAATGAATCATTTTGTTTCAATAATGTTTTGAATATTTTTTTCAGTGCAGTTAAATCCAAGGCCAGACATGATCTGCGGACATTTTTAGCTATTTCTGCACAAAATTTGGACCAAAATCTGTGAATTTATGCAGATTTTTTTCTGTTTATTTCCCTTTTTGATGCATAAAGGAGTTCCAAAATGTTTTCAGTTTTTAGCCGACAACACTGATTTAAATGCTAAATCCACAGGGGCAAAAGATAAAGACATTTAAAGAAAAGCAGAATAAAAACAACTAATCTGAAAGACGGCACTCACTGACTGAGCAGTATAGCGTCCCCGTCACTATACTGGGGCATTAGGGCCCTCACAGACCACAGGTTGGGCGCCCCCTACTGGCCTTACCAACACCACTTCCAGCAGCAACCTAGCTTTCCCATCCGGTCTACCATTAAGTTACTGAACAGGGGCAGCCCTGCTTAGCTTTAGTGGGCGACCATGTGAGTTGCAGAGAGCTAGCTGCCGACTATATTAATGCAGCTACCATGCAGGTCGAGTAGTTGAAACAGTAGGCTATAAGTATTAATTAACTTATACTTATTAATAAAGTAGTTATTCATGAATAACTAATTCAACATGCAATTGTCCTTCGCGATGTTTTAAAGTAGACATCGTACGATGCCAAATTGGTCGACATCGCCCAACCCTACAGCAAAGTCATGTTTTGGGTGTACTTTAGATGAAAATAACCGCACACCATAGAACGTTTATCAGCCAATCAGAATCAAGCATTCAACAGCCACGTAGTATAAACACAATTAATATGAATACATGTATACAAACGGTACATTTCTGCAGGTGTCTGCCTGGGAATCGGAGTATTTCATACTGAAAAATCGTGGAGAAATGATCAAGCGTGTTCATTTTGGGGGGAAGCATCAGCATGAAAGCAGCACTCAAGACGTGACACGTCTGCCGGGGTTTTCCTGGATGGAAATGTGTCGTAATGACAGCGCTCTGCAGCTGGGATGCTGCTGCTGCTGTCTGTGGGTGTCAGAAAGACAAAACACCCATGATCAGTGTTTGCAGACGGCTTTTATTATTATTTTACACTCAGCGAGACTCCAGAAGATCCTCATCAGCAGCAAACGTGTGCATATGAACTCATACTGGGTCTCATTTAGTGTTACGAGTAACATTACTATCAGGGTCGGGGGGGGGGAAATTGACATACAGATCAACTTCAAAATAAAATATGTTCATTTTGGCAGCTCGATGGCTCAGTGGTTAGCACTGTGGCCTCACAGCAAGAAGGTCGCTGGTTCGAGCCTCGGCTGGGTGAGTTGGTGTTTCTATGTGGAGTTTGCATGTTCTCCCCATGTTGGCGTGGGTTTCCTCCAGGTGCTCCGGTTTCCCCCACAGCCCAAACACATGCGCTGTGTGAAGTTTCACAAACTAATATCAAGAGGAGCATGTGATGTGATTGGCCGCTGCTGGTCTCTCGTCTACAATCATTAGTTAGCCAATCAGATTCATCCAAACTCACTATAAGTGGCCCAGCAAAAATGACTCCCGCATCCACCCCTTCTCCCCCTTTCTTCCTTTACCATGAGGAGAACCGCCTGATCTTGTACTCTCCTTACATGCTCTATCGACCTGGCGGGAGCCCTGGGCTCAATTATCTCCAAGCTCAGGGTTCTCTCCCAGGACAGCATGCCAAACCTGCTAATAGTGTCAAGCAATATCTAAGTGTGAACTTTTGAATAGGATGAACTAAATTGTCTGTGGTGAGCGTGTGAATGAGTGTGTATGGGTGTTTCCCAGTAATTGTAATTGGTTTACAGCAAGCTATTGGTGAATGCCCTAAAGCTACTGTACATACTAACTTTTAAGCAAGTCTTGTACAGTGTATATTTGAAATACATCATATCCATACACTATAAATACTGGCCATGAGTGGCGCAACAACACATTTACTGAGGGGTATGCGAGGTCTGACAAAATGTTATGGGCAAACCTTTTTTTGTAACTAAATTGAAATTGAGTTTTGAGCAAAAAATGTTACCAAAAGACCTAATGTATCATTTTAAAACATAATAAATGTATAAAAACATCTATATGGGAAAAAATAGATCTTGATATAAGGATTAATAAACATCTCAGTTCTAAATAAATGTAATATTCTGACTCTTTGTTCATGTGTCAGTTTTAACAGAGTTAAGAATCATTCTAATCAAGTATATAAAATTTACATAGGGGAATTTCTAATCCAAATATTTTTTTATGCTATCTGAAATATTTTGAGGTCTGTACTTACATAAACATACATTTTGTGTGACCTCTCTTTTGGCAAATTAATTAATTAATAATAGATAATAATAAATAAAGATAAGTTTATTTGGAAAAAAATTGAAAAAATCAAAACATTTACATCTACTGTACATGAACACCTTACACTTGGCTGTGTACTGAATGTTATTGTGTTAAATGATTTTGAATTAAAACGTGTGTGCCAACTGATGCAACTCATAGTAAAAATAAATTAATAAAATACAATATTATAGTAA